AACTTTTCAGGATGTTAAAAAAAAAAAAATGTGGGTTTCTTTTTTCCCAACAAATTCTTAACATTTATGTCTTAAAGAAAATTACATGGAAGTCTGACCTCCCGGGCTTGCCTCTACTTCTCTTTAATTATAGCAAAGAATTACATGAGAGAAGTCTACCATCTCTTGCTTACTAGGAATACCTGAAGTCCAAAAGCAAATGACAAACAAGAAAAAGATAGTACACATTGCACTTGTTTGGGTTCACAGAGCCCTTAATCTCACTTCATCCATCTCTTTTCTTCAAAGGCTGTTTTCCAACTGGAATGCAATATTCCAGCTACACAGTATTCTATAAATTTAATCCTATACCAGAGCGAAGAGTTTGGTGACGAGTAATGAAAATAGAAAACTCCAGTTGGGTTCAAAATCTGAGTGGCAGCTGGGGGAAGAGCCATATTTACTAACAATTGTTTCCTTATTGCAGAAAGGAGCAATTTTCATATTTGTTCTGAAGAAGATACTTTAGTGGTTACCACCAGCTTCTCTCAGCACTTAGCAAATGTTACTCGGAACTGAATGTCTGCCTAACATGAGTGCTGAGAGCCCAGCCTTCCTCACCTCTAAGGATTTCAGATTAAGGAAAAACATGACCTGTGGGTCACACTCTGTTGTGAAACAGACTCCAAAAGATCATCTGGAAAATAGGCTTTCACTGTTGTTTACATTTCTTGGATAACTTCTTGTTTTTTTGTTTTGGGGTTTTGTTTTGTTTTCTGTATTTTGAAATAATTTCTGGAATGTCATTTGAGAAAACTGGTTTGCAAGCTATTCGAAGGCTTTCTGACTATGGTGTTTAAGAGTGGCATTCCCTCTATCTGTAAAGTAACATTGCTAAAAAGAGAAATGTGTTTTTCAACTTCCACTGAGTGATATATTCATTCTGTAGCTCAGAGTAAGTCCTATGTTTTGCTAAAATACCACTTAAAATATTTGATAATGATATACTGGACCCACCCCAATAGGTTGTGTTCTTTGTACACAGGCTGCTGCATCCAATGAAACCGCACAGGAATTTGAAGAGTTTTCTTCTCTTTGGACTATTATTTTACTACTAGAGGCCCAGGGCACGAAATTCATGCACTGGGTTGGGGGAGTCCCTCAGCCCAGCCTGTGCCCTCTTGCAGTCCAGAACCCCTCGGGGGATGTCCGCCTGCCAGCTTAGGCCAGTTCCCCATGGGGAGCGGTTCTAAGCCAGCAGTCAGACATCCCTCTTGCAGTCCGGGAGCCCTCACTCCTTACTGCCCGCCTGCTCGCTGCTCCTTACTGCTCGGCTTGCTGCTCCTTAGTGCTGCCATGGAGGCAGGAGAGGCTCCTGCCACCACCGTTGTGCTCGCCAGCTGTGAGCCTGGCTTCTGGCTAAGCGGCACTTCCCCTGTGGGAGTGCACTGACCACCAGGGGTCAGCTCCTGTGTTGAGCGTCTGCCCCCTGGTGGTCAGTGTGCATCATAGCGACCAGTTGTTCTGCCATTTGGTTGATTTGCATATTAGGCTTTTATCATATAGGATTACTACTACTACTACTACTATCAATAATAATAATAATAATAATAATGGGCTGTAACTTGGGAAAAAATACACACTCTCTAATTCCTTCCAGCATCTCTTCTCTGTAGTTTGGTTACCTACAGAATTAACTCTGTAAGAGATCTCCCAAAGGCCTATTAAAAAAAGAAAAAAGAAATTATACATGATAAATTTCAAAGCAGCCCAGCCAGCATGGCTCAGTAGTTGAATGGCAACCTATGAACCAGGTTACAGTTAGATTCCCTGTCAGGGTACATGCACGGATTGCAGGCTCAATCCCCAGTAGGGGGCGTGAAGAGGGCAGCTGATCAATGATTCTCATCATTGATGTTTCTATCTCTCTCTCTCCCCCTCTCCCTTCCTCTCTGAAATCAATAAAAATATATATTTTTTAAATCTCAAAGTAAAAGCCACACACACACATACATAAACACAGAACATGATAGAAAATATATAATGGAATCTTAGAGACTTTCACAATTTTCTATCTAAACTCAAATTTTAATCTTAGGATATAAAGGTTTTCCTATCAAACTCTCCATCATTGGGTATCCTTGAGCCACTCAGTTCTAAATCTCAGATATTTAATATAACATACAAGCCTCAAATTCACTCTTCTGTCTTTATAATTTCCCGCTTCCTCGATATGAAAACTTTTTCCCAGCCAGTTAACCTGTCCTATTCAAGGCTGCCTGTGCTCCATGATGAGCTGGGTGAAACACTCCTTCACAAATTCCCTCCTTCACCTCCCTTCCCCTCCATCCTTCCAAGTCCCTGCCCTGAGAGCCTTGGCCTACACAGTCCTACATGTTGGCTTCTCTACCTCTTAATCTGAGGGCAGCATTGCAGATGGATGGGAGGAAGTGCTCACTGGCAGCCAGCTCCCGACAAGCCATTCTGATGATCTCTACCTCCCATTCTCTTTGTTGATTTCTCCAAACCTTCACTACTCGCCTCCTGTTCAGCTTCTCTAGCATAACTATTAAAGGTGACCTTAGAACAAGAGAGTCTCAAAGGATCCCTTTTCCCACTCCCTCCATCCCACCCATCCCCGCACACCTACACACACCTAATCATCTCTCCCTCATCTTCAGCTGTTTTTTACACACTTACAGGGAAAGTAGAATTTTTCCTTTACTTCCAAATTTAACCTTGCTACCTAAAGTATCCCCTCTGTGTCCTGCATCTTCGACCTCTTCCTCTCTACTAGTTTCTTCCTTGGGTCGGTCCTACAAACATAGTTAAATTTCCTCCATCTTCCAAATAAACAGTAAGCAAATAACTTGGCTCTGCATCCTCTTCCAAGAACTGGACCCTTTTCACATCCATTTAAAAATACTTTTATTGATTTTTAGAGCGAGAGAGGAAGAGGGAGAGAGGGAGAGAGAGAGAGAGAGAGAGAGAGAGAGAGAGAGAGAGAGAGAGAATCATCGACTTTTTGTTCTGTTCCTTTATGCACTTGTTGTTTGATTCTTATATGCACCCTGACAAGGGAAAGAACCTCAATGTTGGTATATCTGGACAACTGAGCTACCTTGCCAGGGCTTCCCTTCCATTTTTAGCCAAACTGTACTTGCTATTCCAACTTTTTTATTTATTTTTTACTCTTAATACAAGTATAAAATTTTCATATTAAAAAATACTAAATGTCCATCATAAGAATGTCAGATAACATGTAAAAAATAAAGAAGAAAAATTTAAATTTCTACTAATGTCACTACCTAACTACTGTTATATTTCCTATTTATGCATTAATTTATCACTCCATTTTCACTGCACATTGCCAAAATTAAGGATACTCTTTAAGAGTCCATAATATCATTATCATACCTAAAAAGAAATTAACAACACTTCCTTAATATCATCAAATCTCTACCACTGGCAATACTTCTTTTTAAAATTTTTATTGATTTAAGCTATTACATATGTGTCTTTATTCCCATGTTACACTGGGAATACTTAGTTGACTATTCTTCTAGGTTATTTTTCTATTTCTAGATATACAAGGTATATTTATGAAAACATACAATCTTATTATATACTAGAGGCTCAGTGCATGAAATTGCTCATGGTAGCCCGCTCCTGCTTGCAGCCCCACTCACCCACCTGCCACTGCTCACCACGCTCCCTGCCCCATCTGCCCGCTGCCGTGATCGGAGCCTGTGGGCCGCAGGGGAGGGACCAAGAGGTGCTCAATGCACCTCATGGTGACCGGTCATTTGGTCATCCTGGTTGTCACAAACACTGGATTTTTATATATATAGATATTATCTTGTAATCTGCCTTTTCCCCTTACTAAGATTTTATAACTTTCTAAATTATATGTAGCTCTACCATTATTGTTCCTGTGACTACAAAAAACAACAACAAAAACAAACAAACAAAAAAAACCCTGCATAAAAGAAGATGTGTTTGTCTGAAGGGAATGGGAGCAGAAAATTAGGGTTCTGTATTTGGTTAGTCTAAAATAAAGAATGTTAATGGGGCCCTGGCTAGTATGGCTCAGTTGGTTGAGTGTCATTTCGTTCCATGCACCAAAAGGTTGGGTTCAATTCCAGGTCAGGGCACATGCCTGGGTTTTGGGCTTGATCCCCAGTAGGGGGCGTGCAGGAGACAGCGGATTAATGTTCCTCTCTCAGACTGAAGTTTCTCTCTCTCCTTTCCTCTCTCTTTAAAATCAATAAAAACATATTTTTTAAAAATAATCTTAATGAGATATTATGTGTAATTTATTGGAACTCTCTAAATATGGATTGAGCCATCAGATGAGCTAGCCTGGAGCCTGAGATAAAGTCGTAAATTCTAGAATACTTGCAAAACCAATTTGGAGCTGAAAACAAACTTTATTATGGCATAATGCCCATTGGACCTGATTAGGAAAAATTATTTTCATTAGAACCTGTTTTTTTCCTGAGGGAGCACTTCTTACAATAGGAGTTTGGGGCTCAGACATGCTGAAGTCGGGTCCTAAACCACATCAGCACCCCATGGTCAGCGCCTCACTTTTCTGCCACCTCAAGATCCATCTCTCCACATGGAAACTTAGTTTTATATATGTATGTATATATATGTATATACAAAACACACACACAGAGAGAGGGGGGGGGAGTAAGGAGAGAATAATGACTCATGCCTGAAAAGTCACCCCACATTTTCTAACCTCATGGGGAAATCACTTCTGCTTCAAGACTTATCTTCATAAGACAAACTTTCCAGGTGCACCCCCATGCCTCATGAATTCCTGTAGCTGGGGAATGGAAAGTTGCTCCTTATGAACAGGGTTCATTTTGCTGCTGAAAATGCTGCTGGTAAAAGAAAGCATGTCTGAATTCTAATGTGAATCACATCCAGTTGTGAAAAAAATTGCCTAGAGTTTGAGGCTAGGTAGCAAGTGTTAAAGTGATTGTATGTGATCTCTTGCTTTCTGTTTCCAGCTTGCTGCTCCCCCAAAGGACACCCCTGAACTGAGCGCCTTTTTGAAAAATTCAACCATCCCTCATCTTGTCAGGAAAAGAGATGTGCCGGTGCCGGTGCCAGAGCTCCGCAGACAGAGCCCAGCAAAAATCCTGGTGAGTACTGTCAGTGCACACACCGAGGGAAGATTGGACTGGACAGAATTCCCAACACAGAAGGCTGTAACTTCAAGTATTGGTTTTCATCCTCTAATGCTCAGATATGCCTAACATTTTTTGTCAGTATGTATTGTGAGAAATGAAAGTGACTATTCTGTGAGGACTAATGAGCATTTGCAGTGTAGCATTTTATTCTTCTAAACCTGCCATGGAGGCCACATTGGAGAAGTAATGATGAAACATAAAATGTGACTGTTAATGTATTTCAAGAACATAAAGATTCGGTTGTTAGCCTGTTCCAGACACTGCACTGGTGAGAGTTTGAAGTGAGTCCCTGCCCCTGAATCTCAGCTGAGAATGGTACATTAAGGTTTTCTGAGCCAAACATCTGTATCTTAGCATTGAGGTCTGTGGTTGATCTAGTCTGAGCTGAGTCAGTACTTAATAAAATGTGGACAGCATTCCTGAATCAGCATTTTTTATTCAATTCTTCTACTTGTTCCAATGTGAATGTTAATGCCATTGAACTATACATTTAAAAGGGGTTAAATGGGTGCTTTTTTAAATGTATGTCTTGAATATGTTCTAGCATTCATTTATTTCATCTTGACAATGTAAAAAGTTTTAAACATGGAAATGGACTGAAAGTACAATGAGCAAGTCTAACTTGATCAGTTGAACTAAGTCAAGAGAAGAATCTTAATATATAAAAACCCAGGGTCCGTAACATCCAAAACAACCAAAGGCTCGACTGACTGCTGCCGCTGTGGGCACCCTGACGCAGCACTGACTGCTGAGGGGGCTGTGGATCAGGCCCGAAGAGAGGCCTGGAAAGAAAGACAGGGTCTGATCCGTAGCCTCCATGGCAGCTGTTGATCAGCACTTTGCCTCTCTCTTTCGTTCTGGGCCTGGCCAGCAGCCACGCCACTCTTTCTCTTGGGCCTCCGCTGGGGCTGCTGATCAACCCTGTCTCTCTGATCAGGCCCATTGATAGGCCCAGGGACGCTGACTGGCATAGAAACCAACCAATCAGAACCAAATCTGGGTGAAGTGTGAGGAGCCAATGGCTGCCTAGGAGGCGGAGCTTTTGATGCTGACTGGCATAGAAACTGACCAATCAGAACCTAATCTGGGTGAACTGCAAAGGCAGAACCTAAGGTGGGGGCTAAGGAAGGGTTTTAAGGGCAACAGTTGTTTGGTGTAAGGTATAAGAAAGCAGTTCAATTTTTTAATGACCGGTTTGGCAGTATAGTGCATATGGCTGGCTTTCAGTCCAGATATAGGGATTATGTATTTTTGTCTGCCAAGAGCATCTCCTCCTGCTGAAAATGGCTCCCCCCCACCACACACACACATTTAAGCAATCCTATCCTATATAATCTATCTATACTACTAAAAGGGTAATATGCTAATTAGACTGGGTCTACTGGCCATCTTCTAGACGACCGTCTTCCTTCCGGACAAAGCCATGGTGGTGGGGGCTGAGGCAGAGGCTGTTAGGGGTGATCAGGCTGGCAGGGGAGGGCAGTTGGGGACAAGATCAGGCTGGCAGGGGAGGGCAGTTGGGGGTGAGATCAGGCCAACAGGGGAGGGCAGCTAGGGGCTATCAGGCAGGCAGAGGCAGTTAGGGGCAAGATCAGCCTGGCAAGGGAGAGCAGTTGGAGGTGAGATCAGGCCAAAAGGGGAGGGCAGTTAGGGGCAATCAGGCAGGCAGGCAGAGAGATTAGGGGTGATTAAGCAGGCAGGCAGAGGGGTTAAGGGTAATCAGTCAGGCAGGCAGAGGCAGTTAGGAGTGATCAGGCAGGCAGGCAGGCAGGTGAATGGTTAGGGGCCAGTGGTCCCAGATTGCGAGAGGAATGTCCCACCACTGGTTTAGGTCCGATTCCTGTGGGATTGGGCCTAACCCAGCAGTCGGACATCCCCCAAGGGGTCCCGGATTGGAGAGGGTGCAGGCTTGGCTGAGGGAACACCACCCCCTGCCCCCCCCCCCGCCGTGCACGAATTTCATGCACTGGGCCACTAGTGTTTATTATAATAGAAGAACCTGAAATTACATGGCAAAAGCTATATGGCAGTTAGCAGATTATATGATTTGAGTCCCTGTACATTTTTATGACACTGTAACGTTTTGAAAAACATAAGAGTAGGGAATTGATATGCTATTGAGTTTAAAATAATTTAATAAAATTCTAAATAGTATCATTTTTAAACGGCTTCCAGAAGTAATAGAACACAAAGTAATGATTTAAGTCCTGAGAATGTAATTACAGCATGGTGACTATAGTTAATAATACCATATGGTATATTTGAAAGCTGTAAGCAAGTAAATCTTACAAGTTCTCATCACAAGAAAAAAAAATGTGTAATTTTGTATGGAAACAGATGTTAACTAGACTTATTGTGGTGATTATTTTGCAATATATACAAATATCAAATCATTATGTTGTACATCTGAAGCTAATATGTTATATATCAGTTACACCTCATTAAAATTTTTTTAAATAAACACAAAAGAAAATGATTGACATCTATAGAATTCTAATGTGCAGTCCCAAGGGAAAAGCCCCCCGGCAAACCAATGTTTAAATCTCTGAGGACCAAGAATTTGGAAAATCAAGATTCAACTATATTTTTGAGTTTCCACTTCAGCATGTGTCTCATGAGTATATAAAGGCAGTGGAGATCAATAACCAATATTCTTTTGAAAAATTATATGCTCTTGTGTTGTAGGGTCAGATTTTTTTTCTTCTTTCTCTTTAAAGATTTGTAATGCAAGATGATTTCTAACCTCTGAATATCATAGGAATTTGTTACTTGCAGATGAGGGCAAGGCAATCCTTGATTTCCATGCCTGATTTTGTTAAACTATGTTTTATTCCCATTCTCTCTTATTGATTCAAAATTGCAAGTCATATGCCCCCCCCCCCCCCATGTCCTCAAGTCAAAATAATTCTGGATAGAAAGTGATTATGCAAAGTTTATTCTGAAATCAAAAGCTAAATAAGACCTCCTACAGTTTTTGTTTAGTTAAAAACAACTTACTGAATCACATTTCTGATTAGGAATTTGAAAGTGCAAAATGCCAACATCCTGTGTTGGGATCATAATTTCCAATTTGCATAGGAATATCTGTATCTGTAACCCTGAGATATAATTTCTCCTCTACTTAAGAATTGTCCTTGCTTTTCTCATCTCGGGCTCCTGCTGCTTTTGCAGCTATCACCCCCATCTCTTCTTTCTCCTCCTTTAACTACTCAGTTTACAGAAACTTTATCTTTCTTAGTCCTGTTTAGCACTTGATACTCTTTTCTTTTATAGATTTTTTAAAATTGATTTTTAGAGAGAGAGGGAGAGAAAGAAACATCAATGTGAGAGCAAAACATTGATTGGCTGCCTCCTGCATGCCCCCAACTGGGGATCGAGGCTGTGACCCAGGCATGTGCCTTGACAGGAATCGAACCAGCAACCTTTCAATGCATGGGATGATGCCTAACCAACTGAGCCACACAGGCCAGGGCAGCACTTGACACTCTTGACCACTTTCTAAAACCATTACCTCCCCTGGATTCTCTCAACCTGGCCAAGACCCAAACACTGGTAGCACAAGAGCAGCCCAGCAACCTGTATTTGGAAACATTATGAAGAAATCTAACCTTCCTGGAGTTTATCAGATACATGTTACTTATTGCTTGGGTTCTAGAGAATTCTGAGGGTCTTGAAAAAGGTTTTCATAGTGATATGTTCCTCAGGCTACTCTGTATTTTATCTATTTCATTAATGTGAAATGCCTTAGCAACTACTTCACACAGTATCCAATATTGAACATCCATAGGCTAGTGCCCAGTGCTTGAGACATAAAAAAATAAATCATAGCTCACACAGTAAATTCAAATCAGTGAGTATAATTCAAAAAGTATCATCCTGTACATGGGAAAGTGGAAAATGGATGTGAGGTGTCCATTTATTTCCACAGTGGAATCCAATCAGAAAGCATGATTTGATAGGTAGAATGTCATCATAATGAATTCTTTCCAGGAACTTGCATTTTACATATGAAAGTTTACCCATTAGAAGTTGAATGATCCTACAAACTAGTTTAAAAACAACTTAATGAATGAAATTCTCAGAATATCCTGCTTTATAACCAGGAAGTAATTTAGACAGAAAGAAGAATGTTATAGAACAAATGCTTGTCAGTGGGCTAGTAACTTTGGGATTTTGAGGTAATATGGACTCAGGGACCTTCCTCAAAAGCCATTTCAGGACTTTGCTTAGTCCAGGCTCAGGTGCTGTGAATGTCTATAAGAAATACCTTCCTGCCCAACCAGCATAACTCAGTGCTCAGTGGTTGAGCGTCAACCTATGAACCATGGTCACGGTTCGATTCCCGGTCAGGGCACACACCCGGCTTGTGGCTTGTTCCCCAGTATGGGGCATGCAGGAGGCAGCCGATCAATGACTCTCCCTCATCATTGATGTTTCTCTCTCTCTCCTTCTCTTTTACTCTCTGAAATTAATAAAAATATATTTTTTAAAAAAGAAATGTCTCCCTGGGTTCTATTAAAATGAAGCAGAACAATTCAGTTGCTGCTATAAGAAGATAGTTTTAAGTCCTTAGAAAAGAACTTCAATTTTATGTTGTATTTATGTTCCATTTTATCTCTATGTTACCCCTGAAGTTAATGCATCACTGCTACCAAACTGTGTTTTTTTCTTGGTTGTTTTAATGTATTTGTTCTTCATTTAAATTAATAATTTATGGATTAGATGATGACTTCTGAGGAAATAAGATGTGAACAAATTGACTTCAATGTTGACGCTCTACCACAATTTAAAGATGCTGATTTGCTAAAGTTGCTGTTGTTTTCTGCAGAATTGTACAAATATCGAGTGCTTACAGATCTCCTGTGCAGTGGGACGACTAGAAGGAGGAGAAAGCGCAGTTCTGAAAGTCAGATCACGGTTATGGGCCAAGACATTTCTCCAGGTAATAGGAAACAATGAAGCACACACACACCACTCACAGAGACCCTCTTCTCAAAAGCTCAGCACGAAGCTTATTTTTTTAAATGACTTAAATTCTTAAACATTTTCTATGTTTACAATTTTTAGATTTAATTTCAAAATATTTTATATTTTAAAATTGTTTTTCAATTTTTAATTTTTTCATTTCAGCATTCTATTTATGTTACTTTTTGTTGAATTTTATTGGGGTGACATTGGTTAATAAAATCATATAGGTTTCAGGTATACAGTTCTGCAATACATCATTTGTATATTGTATTGTGTACTCACTATCCTTAGTCTATTCTCCTTCCATCACCATTTATCCCTCCCTTTACCCTCACTGCCTACCCCTGTCCCCCTTCCCTCTGGTAATCACCATACTGTTGTCTGTATCTATGAGATTTATTTCTTTTTGCTTAATGCCTTTACCTTTTTCACCCAGCCCCACATCACCCTTCCCCTCTGACAGCTGTCAGTCTGTTCTCTGTCTCTGAGTCTGTTTCTGTTTCTATTTTGTTTATTTTTTTCACTAGATTCCACAAAAGAGTGAAATCATATGGTATTTGTCTTTCTCTGACTGGCTTATTTCACTTAGCATAATACTCTCCAGGTCCATCTATGCTGTTGCAAAGGGTTTGATTTTCTTCTTCTTCTTCTTCTTTTTTTTTTTAAAATTTTTTAACAAAGTAGTATTCCATTGTATAAATGGAAATCTGTAAGCACTCATCTACTTACAGGCAATTGGGCTGCTTCCAGATCTTAGCTATTGTAAATAACACTGCAATGAACATAGGTGTGCATATATTCTTTTGAATTAGTGTTTCGGGTTTCTTCGGATATATTCCCAGTAGTGGAATTGCTGGATCATAAAACTGTTCCATTTTTAATTTTTTGAGGTAACTTCATATTGCTTTCCACAGTGGCTGCACCAGTGTGCGTTCACTGATTCCCAAAGTGTAAATATTCTTCCCTGTGGCTGATTTCAAGCTGCTAACATGACGTTGCTGAATATGGAGTTGGGAAGAGATATACTGTAGGTCACCATCACAGAATCTTTCCCCTTCAGATACAATAGACATAAATAATATGTAGATAATAGTAAAATGCAATAAAAGAATTAAAAGTACTGAGTTTTCAGTATTTATTACCTTTAAAAATGCATAATTGACTGAAATTTATGTATATATAATTTACATTTTAGTAATGGTTCTATTTAACAACTGTTACTCACAATTCCTGAAACTTCAGCAATCTCTCAAGAGCCATGTGAGCCAGCCAAGGGCCACCACTGGGTAAATCTAATCACTGTCTCAGGTTAAACGGAGAAGCACAGAAGCCTAAGTTCTCAGAATGTCTTTTTTTGGCTTTACTCTTAAATATTTTCCTTTGACTTTAATCAACAGTTAATATGAGAACCAATTAAACAAAAAGGACTTTTGCTGAAAAGTTCTGTCAAAAACACTATATGGCTCTAGGACTGTGGTTCTTAATTAGTTTGAGGCTAAAGGGACACTGGCAATAATTAAAGACATTTTTGGTTGTCACAACTAGAGGGGGAGGTGCTACTGGCCTCTAGTGGGTGGAGGCCAGGGATGCTGCTAAACACCCTGCATTGCACAGGACAGCCCCTCAACCAGCCTAAAATCTTAATGATGCCAGGACTGAGAGTCAGTGCTCTGGGTCTTCTGTATACTATTAGGAAGAAATGTGATAAATTTCTTTATAACTTAGTACTAGTCTTTCCCCTAAAATATTTCCCTCTCTAACAATAATTTTTTAGCCCACAATGTTTCCTCTTTGTTTTTCCCTCACAGCAACTATGTAAATGATTGTGCTTATTCCTTTTTAGGATTCTGATTTCCTGTTTTTTATTTTAACTTTATTATCCCAAGTCTTTTGTTAATAAGACAATTTAAAAAAGTAAGAAGAGGGTGAATGGTTGGATGGATGGACAGTTGGATGATGATGAATGGATGATGGATAGATGATAGATGGATATTTGGATGGGTGGATGGATGGATGGATGGATGTCTGCATGAATGATGGGTAGATGATGGATGGATGTTGGGTGAGTGATGGATGAATGGATGGGGGAAAAGTAAAAGAAAAGGAAGAAAGGGGGAGGAAATTTTGCTTTGGAAATGGAAAACACTGAACACAATTGGGTGGCTGCCAGTAAAAGCTTTGTATGATTTAAATTTAAATATTTTTAATTGCAGAGAAAGAATGATCCCTATTCTCTTGCATCCCTGGTGTCTTTTGAAGTTAAGAAGATGCCTTATAAAGACCAGCCAGCAAAACTTCCAGAGGGAAGAATAGCAGTAAGTATCTAAAAATATACAGGCACAAATAATTTCATTTAAACTTTGTTTTTTAAATTACTGTTCTGGCTTGTACTAGGTTTAAGTGTTTATTACATTGACTTGAGAACAGTTTTCCCTTCACTGTTTTCTTATTTCAGTCTGGAAATTACTTAGTGTCATTTGATCAAATTTTAACCTTTTAACATAACTTTCTACCACCCACCCCACCCACCCCCCCAAAAAAAAATCACAGGGCAGGACTGATGTCATTTTCAATCAAGCCATTTTGTTTCTAAGAAATCCAGACAGCAATGATCATTATAATGAAATTGTACTAATTGCTTAATTTTAACATGGAGTAGGAAGGGATGTCTCTTCCGTAGGGACAGATGCCAAAGACCAGCTGCAGGACATGAGACAGCGATCTTTCCTTTCTACATAAAAAACCACTATTTTCACCTGGGGGTAAAGGTATACTATGAGCTTCACTTGAACAAAATTTTATTTTTTAAAAATGAGGCTATTAAACATTACTGACCCCCAAATATCTGTCAGAGCACAACGGCTGACATCCTCAGCAAACCGGCAGGCCGTGCAGAGCAGAGGGGAGATGGGGTGAGAGGCTGAGCAGAGCCGTCACCAAAGCTCTGCCTTCGCAGTGAGCGTGATCACAGCCAGGGCTGCAGGAAGCAGTGTTAAGATTTTAACCTTCATCTCTTGGTCATCCACAGACATTCTCAACCCCCACTTGAACTCTGGTCCCCAGATCCTTGTTATTCAAAGTGCGGCTTACAAACCAACAACCCCAACATCACCTAGGAAATAGTTAGAAATTCAGAAACAGGCCTCACTGCAGACCTGCATTTCACCAAAAGCGTCAGGGTATCATCTTCACAGTAAAATTTGAGAAGCACTGCTTTGGATGATATATAAATTGATACTACCACAATTTCTTATCAGCATAGATCTTCAAAGGTAATTGCAATACTTAAACTTTCTAGCCTAACTACTTTTAGTAATTTAAATTAAATTAACCCATTGATTAGTGATTTTCAACCCTAAGTATTCAAAAGAATCATCACTCACGCAACTTTAAATAAATATATACGTGCTAAGTCTTTACCTCAAATGTCGGGATTACGTGTGTCTGAAGCAGGGCTTGGACGCTGTGCTTTAAAAGATGTACAAGTGACAATCCTGTAGTGAAACTAGGATTGAAAACCTCCAGCACAGGAAGGCAGCACAGAGGAAAATGCAGTTTCCTGGGCTTTCTCCTGGGACCCCCACCCCCTCCAATTAAGAAGTCACTCTACTTTGCTGAGGCTGTTACCCATATTCAGAAAGAATTTTGAGACAATTAATAAGATTACGTATATAAAACTCCCGCATAGCACCTGGAACAAGGTCAGTCTCAAGTCTCAATAATAGTAAACACTCCCCCCCCACACCCAATATTGGAAATGTCAATAGATTTTCAGAGCCTAACTATTTCAGTAAACTTTGGTGGCATTTTAAAACAAGCACTGCCACATCTTTCTTCATTTAGTTCACCTCTCTTTCATGAGATGTCTGTTATAGTCTGGATTTATGTTCAACTTAGAAAATAGAGGCTTTGGGTTTTTAATATAGAATGTTCACCCAGAGAGGTTCAAAGGCTTGTAGCTCTAAGGGAGATAAATCTGGGCCCTTTTGTTGTCTCTGAGCACATGTTCATTAACAGAAACACATGCTACAGTTGATTCCATCAACAGTATTGAGTCTTTCCGTGCTGGCCACAGGTGACAGCCCGCTGTTCTCAGCTCATCTCAGAAGATCTGCAAAATGATCAGATCCATGCGTCCTCCACCCCCACCACCCTTGTCACTGCATTTAAAAACCAGTCTTGTCCGACGTGGATGACTTACTACACCATTTAGGTAAAGGTACCAGCAGGTCCTAGAATAACATCATTTTGTTCAACGTAGTTTAGTTACGACGTTGATGAGATGCCCTAGGAACTTAACAGTTATATGTCAATGAGCCTGTGGTAACATTGGTTTCATTATGTCAGTTTACTTAAAGGCACAGAATCTATCCATAATGTTAAGTGACAACTTAACTGTAATTGGAAAAACATTCAGACATATTTTATAGTGAGTTTCCGTCATTCTAATCTTGAAAAGAACCCAGAGGGAGAGCATTGCTTTAAGGTGGTAGAACTCATTGCAGTCAGTAGCTTGAAAATCATCAGAGCTCCGATCCCAGCTCTGCCACGGGGGAGTCTCTCGCTTCCTCCTTCCGTCATGAGAGTAGAGAAAATTCGGCTGTTTTTCTAGGCCCTTGTGTGGGATGACTAGCTTGTTTATACTCCCTTTCAACATGGTCATAATTCAAACATTTCTTGAGGCCTCTATAAGCTTTACATATTGAAGAAATGGCCGTCCCCATCTGCTGCATTGCATGGTGTTGGTAAAAACGAACTCCACACGTGACGTGACACTTGTCATGTCCGGAGGGGAAGGAAAGGTTGCGTGAAGCAGAGGGATAGGACTGAGCGCTGGTTCATTACAGCGCACAGGAAAAAAGTTCCTGCTATTTGAACACTTTTTTGTTTGTTTACCAATTAATTTTAATATTTGTGTTCCACGTGACTAAAGCCAAATTCCAAAGGTGGCTATTAGGAAGTATGTTATGAAAATTCTTACTTGAAAACTCATCCGTGAACTGTGAATACATTGAATTTTCAGAATTGTTCGCAAAGCTTCAGCAGCTTAAAGTGGAATTCTTACGTTAAACAATTGTTTGGAGTTTGAACTCATGCTAGAGACTACTTGGCACAGGGGCTGTTTAAATGTTGTTAAAATGTGTGTTCAGCTGGTCCACCTTATGTTAAAATGGCACCGTAGATAGGGTGTCTTGGTACATTTATTTAAAACATCCTTGTGGCCTCACTGAAGTATGTTTACACAGATTTTGTGATACATAAATACAGATGTCAACATTAATTACAGTTGCATAATACAAGGGAGTCCTTTTCCTTCTACCTTGCTATTTTTGTCAAAATATACAAAAATACATCGTAAATGTCAGTGAGAAAATGTAGGCATATTATAGATTTATTTATGGTCTTTCAACCATAATAAAGAACAATAAGATTTATGACATGATGAAGGTAAGATTAGATGTTCCCTACTTAGTATCACTTTAAGAAAATCTAAACCACTTACAGTTTATGGATCCCACTTCCTAAAATTGCAGATAATTATAGTAAGTGAATTGTTAAAACTTTACATTGTTTCCTTAAATAGCAACAGGTTCTTGGTACATAAAAATAAATTAAAATGGTTTGTTGATTAGCTGGCATGCAATGCAACTTTCCTCCCTAAATTTTAAGTACTTTAGTTACTCAATATTACCTTCTTTCTTAAAACACTTAAAATAAGTAATCACAAGCCCACGTTCCTAAGGGAAACCTTTGGTCCTAAGTACATCCCATCTCCTGCCTTGGGAACACCTTCCCGGTGAAAGCACCTTAGGCTTGGGCAAAGTGAATCCCAGCTTGTGTGAGACCATGCGGGACCTTTCCGAGCTGCGCAGTCTGTGTGGTAGCTACGAGCCACACGTGGGTACTGAGTACCTGAAAGGTGGCTGGTGTGACTGAGGACCTGAACTCATAGTTTTATTTCTTTTTAACTCATTTAAATGTAAATTTAAAATTGCAGTTGTATAAATTTTTTTTTTTTCATTAAACACAGCTTTATTGTTTGGGTAAGACTGTATTTCACTTTAACTATGGAAAATTGTTATATGCTACAACTATTAAATACACACTGGATTTTCCAGTTAGTAAAAACAAAAAAGAATATAAAATATCTCATGAATATTTTTACATTAACTACATGTTGAAATAATAGTTTTGATTTTTAGGGTTAAATAAAGCATATATTAAAATTAATGCCCCATTATTCTTTTTAAACTATTTTTATTGTTTTGTAGAGAGAGGAAGGGAGAGGGGGAAAGAGAGAGAGAAACATTCACGTGAGAGAGAAACACCGATCAGTTGCCTCCTTGCATACACCCTTACCGGGGATTGAACCTGCAACCTGGTTACGTGCCCTAACCAAGAATCCAACTGCTGATCTATCGACGTGTGGGATAATAATGTGTGGGATGACATCCAGCCAACTGAGCCACACTGGCCAGGGCTCTTTTCCCTTGTTTTGTTTTTTTTTTAATGTGGCTAGTAGAAAATTTTTAATTTAAAAATTTCAAATTAGACTTGCATTATATTTCTATTGGACAGCAGTGTAGAGCAGGGTTATAGAAGGTTCCAGCTTGGAGCTGATGAGAAGACCCACAGAGCTTCAGAGAACATGCGGTGTTTAATAAATCTAATTTGAGATGAATGAAAAATTCTTACTATAAATCAGTGATTAGTCATTAGAAACTCTAAAAATTAAGACCTATTTTTCTCATCCTTTATTATCCAATGGACAATGTAAGCTCTGTTGGACTTGTCAAAAGGAGCTGCAAGAAAAACATCAATATTAGAACTAACAAATTTGTGGTATTTTGTTTCAGGCAAAGCTTTGCTTTACCTGTTTGCGCCTGCAGATGAACTGCCCCTTTGCCATTTGCAGATGTGACATGTCACATGAGCCCCGAATCAACGTGTTCTCCGAAGGACCTCTCCTTTCGAGACATGTGACTTTCCCAGTGGTGTGTCATTTGTGACTCTCATCCACCTCTTTCCAGCAGCAGTTGTCTGCTCCTCTGCACTGGAAATCTGAAGAAACGCTCTGGGCACTATTGCTGGCTTTTTGTTTTTCATTCCCCATGGTGTGGTGACGTCTTGACTATGCAAGTAAAAAGGCTGGATAAGTTTAGGAAAACAGCTGGGGCCTAGGAAGGTCCCTGAAGCTGCACCCATTTATTTATTTGTTTGTTAAATATGTTTCTATTGATTTTTAGAGGGAGAGAAAGGTAGATAGATAGAAACATCGATGAGAATCATTGATTGACTGCCCCCTACATGCCCCCTGCCTGGGATGGAGCCTGCAACGCAGGCATGTGCCCGGACCAGGAATCGAACCTTGATCTCCTGGTTCATAGGTTGATGCTCAGCCCTGAGCCACACCCGGCAGCACTGAAGCTGCACCCATTTAGATGGAGAAGCTTGGGCAGCCTCAGTGCCGCATGGATGTCATAAAGGAACAGAATGTTACTGGCAGCAGACACAACAGTGTGGTGCTGAGAATTTCAGAATGTTGGAACTGAAAGGGACACTAGTGATCCTCTCCGTGGACTTTTTAAAGACGCTGCTGTCAGAATCTTAAGAAGTGAATGCAAACAAAGAGCCAGTAGATTTTGTAATGACCCCTGTAAAGCTGTTTTCTGCTTCAAGAGCTCCTACAGGCATATCCTGTTCAATTTAATGTTTTATTCCTACTTTTCAAACACTCCTTAAAAAAAACCCTTCAGATATCATTATTAGTTCTTTGTAAGTAACCTCCCTGCTCCTTTCTGCAGGCAGACCAAATTTAAAGATACTACATCCCAACCTGCAATAATCAACTGGCCAAAAACCCAGCAAAGTAGTTGGTGGCCATTCTTTCATTCCATTCCATTTGTTGTAATTAAACTAAAAATTTGAGCAGTCTATAGCCTTTATTTCAATTCCTTTAGCTTTTTTCTTTCTTTTTTTTATTTACAAAACTAGGACTGTTCCCTATGTTTAACATGAAACAGTGGGAGGTGACTTAAGAAATTAGGTAAATCAGGATGGAAAATTGAGAAGCATTGCTGCTTATCTTAATGTAAATTCGATAATTTACGCAATCTCTCTAACACACGCACAGAGTATAGACTGAAACTGTGTTTCCTCCATGGCCTTAGAGCTTATGGAGAAAAAGAACGTAAGAAACCTCAGAATTTACGTGGCTCCCGATTTTCTCTCTCCCGGGGCAATGTAACCGGCTGGTGAGCTCACAATCACTACCATCCTTTTCAGTTCCAAAATTCTGAAATTCTCATCACCAAAACAGAGTCAGTCTGCTCCCAGTGGCATTGGGGTCATTTTAAACTGCGACTGTGTGCCCTTTCTCTGAGCACCACACATGTTAGGACTGTATGCTGATTTCATATATGTTGTCAGATGGAATTCATAAGGGAGCAGGATATAAAAAGAATTGAGAAGTGATCTAGTCCCTGACTTGCTCATGCAGGACACATGAAAGGATAGTTTTTAAATAAATTACTTAGGCTGCAGAAACCAGGGACATGGTGACTGCTTTGAGCCCTTGTCATGCATTTCTTCAGTACCATGTGCCCTGTCCTTAAACTGTGGCAAGCAGGGAAAGGAAAATGCCATTGGATCACGGAATGCTGCACTTCCTACTGATGTGCTCAATGAAATCAGGACAACACTGGCAAGGACAGCTAACAGTCCAAGGAAGAAAGGACATGAGTAACCGTGAGTAGGTCACGGCCAGCCTTTTTCTCTGAGAGTCGTCTCTGGTCCTTGGCACTATCGTCCATATGGAATGACTAGCAGTTTCACTCCAGTCGATTCTGTTGTTTGCTCTAAATATTAATGATATTTGGGTCCCGAGAACTCAGTGAATTAAGTCATCAGTATGTCTGATGCATAGAGGACGTGAGCCAAGATGAAAGGAGCAACAAAACCCTGACAAGCTGAGAAGAGCATAGACAGGATGCTCAGACCAATTAAGAGGCAGAAGCAAAGCAGTGAGCAGAGTCAGGGCCCAATACCCGAGTGCAGGCTATGAAGACATCCATATGTTTCCAGCCAGGGAAAGTTTGAGAGCCCAGCAACCTTCATCATGAATTTATCCTCTCCTGACCGGTGGATCAGAGAATTGCGGCCCAGAGTTCTTGAGCGTGTGTCAGGACTGGACTCATGAGCCTTCCAACCAACTTGACAACAAGTTGCCAGGGATCACTTCAAACAGTTTAGCTGAGGCAATGCTTACTTCGATCTGTAGCCAGATAGGCCTCCTTGGTGAAGAATGTTTTGGATCCAAGAATATGTTTATTCTCTTTCCCTTGACGAAAGGTGTTACCAGCGTGGTGGTTTTGTTTGTGGGTCTGCGGCTGTTTCTGCCCATGTTGGGAGACAGGGGTCGTTCACAGACACGGAGCGTGCAGGCCTGCTGAGAAGGCCTCGTGTAACTCCAGGTTCCCTTGCAAACTGGGAATGAAATGAGTCCTAATAGTGTCTGAAAATTGGAGTTAGGATTGAAGGCAGCTCCACAGCATCACCGTTCACTCTGCTTACTGTAGTTACTTCCATCAAATGCAAGATGGCTAGCCTCACACTCTGGGCTGTCCTTTGATAGAGCACAGAACCTAGAGATAAAGAGGCACTGACACTGATTAGCCCTATGAATCAGCTCTGTGGGACTCGTTTTTTCTCGTTTGTAAAATGAGGGGTTGGGTGAGGTGATTTCTAACTTTCCTGCACATCCAACAGTCTGTAGTTGTGCGCAAGCTCCCCTCTCAGCGAGGTCAGCTCAGTTTGGTGGAGAAGCGTAAGTGGACAGACTTGGTCTTTTGTAGGGTCTACTTTTAGCCACTGTTTTTATAAAAGGTCCAGCCCAATTTAAGGTCATTCCTTTCCACCTTGTTGGTTCCTGGCCCACCTCACTTCCATTTTAGGGTTTCTGTGCAGTTACAAGCCAAGCATCCACGACATATCTGTGACTGGCTTTTCACTCAACCTGGGAGACATGAAAATGTATGAGTTTTTAAGATCCATGTTCAAGTGCAATAACCCCTTCAGCCTCTCCTAGGATGACTTCAATTATTATATGGATCCTTTCAGAACTACTCCCAATATTATATTGGTAACTACTGCTTTATTTCACCAAAGAGTTTTCAAAGTAGAGCTCATTTGCTTTATTTTCCACTTCAGATTAAGACATCAGTTATTTGGGCAACACCAAATGTTTCCTTCTCAATCCCATTGTGGGTGATAATACTAGCGATACTTCTTGGATTATTGGTTCTGGCCATTTTGACTTTGGCTTTATGGAAGGTAAGTTTCTTTATTTTCTTTTCCTTTTTGAGTAGAGAGGCCACTGAAGGGATTTAGAAGGCTTTATCTAGTGATTTAAAAAGATAATGCTAGAGGTGTGATTTGGGGGTTCCTAACAGTCTAAAATGCATAAAAGAAACCTGTATCTTGTTTGCTTTGGCAAACAGTACCCTTGTGTAACTGACATTTAAGAAGAGTGGGGGTGTTTAATGTTGCTTTTATCTTGAGACTTCTTATAAATAAATATAGAGAGAATTAGACTTTATTAACTAAGACCTGTGACCCTTTTTCCAATATGCTTGGAGTGAAAATGTTATTATCAAGACTTCTTTTTCTTGTTTAATTAACCAAGATCTTAAGCTTTTTATTTAAATGGTCCTATCAACAATCCTTTGAGATTTTTCTTTATAAACACTACGCAGATGTAATTAATATAGTAATTAAGTGGTACTTGGACTGTCAAGTAGGGCAAATAGATCATGCATGTTATAATATTCTTGGACTTGCTGTTTTTTTTTTTAATCTTGCCGATTGGTTTGTCTCCATTAGGAAGCCTTACTTTACTCTTTCATGTGTTATACTAAAGTTTGTTCTAAAAATCTACAATAGAAATTAATTTCTGGCCCCAAAACAAACATGATTACCAAGTTTCACAGAGCTTTCCATTTCAAAAGAAAAACAATGTCAGGATTATATGACTGTCAGAATAATTAATCCAGTCACATCTTACTTAACCACTATTGTTGTGTTTCTACAAAAATCATAGTGTGTTTTTATTTAAAAACAATATAAAGCATGCTTAAGAGACCTTTAAACTAGGAAACCTTTGCCTTTTAAGTTAAAAATTGGCGTTTCTGATCCGTATCAGTTGTTTTGTGCCATCCTGAGCCCATATAGCCTTGCACACCTTTACAAATAGACTTTTGTGTTATTCTGTTATTTATAGTAACTGTATTTCCATAATGTTATAGTTATATGTGCCAATTGACAGAACATTGTGCTAGTCCTGCAACAGAAAGATGATTTGATATCATAAGCCAAACCAAGTGGGTTGGGTTTCTAATGAAGAAACTATAAACACAAACTGAGGTTCCAGGTTTGTAGGAGGTTTCGCCTAGACCAGTGGTCGGCAAACTCATTAGTCAACGGAGCCAAATATCAACAGTACAATGATTGAAATTTCTTTTGAGAGCCAAATTTTTTAAACTTAAACTATATAGGTAGGTACATTGTTATTAACTTAATTAGGGTACTCCTAAGGCTTAGGAAGAGCCATACTCAAGGGGCCAAAGAGCCGCATGTGGCTCGCGAGCCGCAGTTTGCCGACCATGGGCCTAGACCAAATAACTAATTTGAAATTCAGGAGGATGAACATTCTAGAATCACCTCTTCCCAGAGTTCCTGGTTAATCTTTGTAAAGGTCCTAAGATGTTCTTGGATTAAAATAAATTTCCCTCTATATACTATATGCCCCACCGAGTGCAGAGGGGTGCCCAAGGATCCCCTCACTTCCTCCTATGATCCATCCTGAGGAAGCTATATTTCAGGAGCGACTCTTCCTTCCCTGGTCAGCAGTTAGTGCTGCTGCTGACTCCAGAAAACATGCAGGAAAGCAAAGGGGACATGCCTGGGTCAGGGCCTGTAACCCCAGGGAAAGATGCAAGGTCCATACCTGGTTTGTATAAAACAGGGACATTCTCCCACTATCAGGGCAAGGCAGCAGGAAGGCACGAAGACTGCCCGATGCAGGGCATTCCTCTGCAGGTTAAGGATACTCTTTTTTCACCCCCTCATTTGGAGACTCAGGAAGATGACCTCCACAGAGCTCTAAGTTCCTTAGCAAATACATAAAGTGAACATTATTGGCACGAGGGCTTTCACAAATTCCTAGAACGACTTGCTTTTATAGCCCATTTTTCTTTTCTGTAGTGTGGATTCTTTGACAGGTCAAGACCCCCCCAAGATGATATGAATGACAGGGAACAGCTGACAAATGAGAAAACCCCTGGTGCTTGAAAAGGTAAAACCAAACACCAAAAACTCCGACATGGTCCTGTTCAAAGAAAAGAAGGAACATGAGGGTTAAACAAAGGTTTTCCTGGACCTGCCAGTGTCCTAGGAAATGGAAAGGCCGGGAACTATTGCCTCATCGACACCACCCTGTGGAGACATTGCCATGGAGCCCCGTGAGCCTTGGGAAGCAGACATCCCCGCTGTAGAAACAGCCATCATGCACGTTTCTTCCCCTTGAGTCATTCTGTATTTGGCAGACACTTTGAAGTGGGTATGGAAACTAAGGCTGCTTTCCAGGTAAATCCAACTTAAGTCACAAAGACAAAAGGACTGAATTATGATAGAATTTAGAAGGCGAACTAGGACCGAACCTTCCAACACTACTGTATCCTACAGAATATTTGACACCTCCCTATGGAAAAGAGATATTTCTAATGATGTTACGGCTCAGGGAGACAAGTATATGTTGTTGTTGGTACTGTGAAAGTACTTTTGAAACGACAAAGATAATCTTGTAAGCAAGGATAACAATTTATTTATTTATTTTCCGTTTCTCTGGCCATGTAGAGGATTTGGAAATTAAGATTTGGTCAGCTGGTTTTCTAAATCACACCCTTAACTCCTTCTAAGTTAACCATTGTGTGCAGATCAGTCATTTAATAGAGATTTTTAGATCATGTTAAGGAAAAAGCAAGTTGGTATTAGAAGATAGCTTCATTTAATATTCTGCTGCCTTCCACCTGAAATTAGTTGTATTCACACTTTCTAGGGACTCACATCTGCTTAATGTAGCTTTGCAAAAAGTTACATTTATAGTTCTTTTTATTTTAAAAAATAATTGTTCCATTTACTTAATTAGCAATACATACATTTTAAGGTACTCTCAATGCTATGTGGTGTTTAAAAGTTATGGTAATTATGAAAAATGTCTACAGTTTGTCGATTGAAAAGCAATTTAACAATATGGGTAAACATATTTTTAATATCTATAAGAAGCAACACCAATATTTAACTTCAGATAAATACCTATTTTCTCTACTATATCTCACACTTTTTATGTACACAGAGAATATATGTTACACATAAATAGGAAGGAAGTGAAAAGTTATGCAGGTGTGAGATGAATCTAGAAAACGGATTCCCAAGGATTTTACTTAAAATTGCCTATTCCAACTTTACTACTCATTTTTACTGATAATCTTTATAGTACATGACTTTGGAAAAGTATCTTTATGTAAGGTATTTTCCCATCATCTTGAATTTGACCATCACAAAAACTTGATGTTTAAAACTTGTAAATAAGCCATAATTATGTGTAATATTAACATTTTTGAAGTAAAATTGACCAGGCAAATTCATATACTTGCACAGCTTTGTATCCTTTTTATAATAATGAAAAATTACTAGGAAGAAATGCTAAGCAAAGTTTATATTTATGTGCAATATTTTATAGACCTATGTATCTAAGGCATGTTTACACTGGCATTAGTTATTTTTAAATTAATATCCTGAATATTAAGAATGATGGAACAAGCAGACCCAAAACCTTAAGTTTACAGAGCCATTGGAAAACTTGTATCCCAGTTTCAACATCACACTTTGTTTGAAAGAAGAGCCAAACAATCAAACTCACAGACATTAAGTTTCTGTCGTGCCTTAACCTGGAGACAAGCCATTTGGCTGTAGCTGCAGCATTTCTTTGGAGACCAAATGAAAGGCACATGGAAGAAGACACGGATGCAGTTCATATTCTTCCCGCTTATGAATTAAATCCTGTCATGGTAGCGGTTTCAAGTCTGTCAGGAATGAAGTCTGGCTCCCAGAGTATGCGGCTGGCTGTGGGTGAGAACCGCACGTGCTTCAAACTATTTGTGGGCCCCACACCAACCTCTGTGGGCCCCACACCAGCCTCTGTGGGCCCCACACCAGCCTCTGTGGGCCCCACACCAGCCTCTGGTCCTAGGTGTCAGTTATCTAGAATTGGCTTTACACTAGGGAAGTAACCATCTACAGGATATGATTGGAGGGATTTCAGGCAGGACTCTGTGCCCCCAAATAATGCCTTAACTCTTGCCTCCATTTTAGCCAATAGAAATGAGCACCTCAGGATTTTTGGTCATGAGAGGTGTCAGAAAACTCACCAATTGCCTTGTTAAGCTAACCACATTGGTGAAGGAACTCAGAACTCTTAGGGTTCGATAAATGTAGGCCCCCGTGAGAGCACTCACACAGACACCTGGGGAAACTAGAGGTCCTAAGGAGACTGGGACCCAGAACAGAGCAAGGTATGAGGGCTTCAAAGGCAAACTCTGCCTTCAACACAGCCTCAGCCAAGAGTAGTCCCTTCGAAAAGGGTGAGCACCGCTACCTACAGGCATTTCGTGGAGGCCGGCAAGCACACACCGGCCCGCTCCACCACTTAGAATTTGGAAGCAAATGGAGGAGGGGGACACTGAAGTCAGAGGACTTTCCAGGCATCAGTTCCTCAGCTCCCCTCTACACGCAGGGTCCTCTTACCACGCACTGAGCACATCTGCTTCTGGTCACAGGATTGCTAGTCACTTTCCTAACTCAGAATGTCTTAGAGTCTCTCTCTGTGTTAGAGAACCCTTTGAAAATTCTTGCAGCTGGTTTTTAAGATATGGAAAATGGGAAAATGAAGTTTTATAAACTTGGAGGTTTTTATACAGTAAGAACACAATATGGACTAGTCACCACTGAAATCCTATTTCAACTCTTTTCCTTTTCCTGTTTTATTTAAATACATTTGTAGATATCTGTGAAAATTTTCATGTACCTATTTACCTTCTCACTAATAAAATTAAAAATGAAAGACACTTTGACGTACTTGTGGCTTATTTCACAAGCGAAGGAAAGCTTTCCCACAGTAGCAGACATCAAAGTTTCTGTCTATACCTTGATTCTTTATTATAAAAACTAGAGGCTGGTGCACAAAATTCGTGCACGGGGGTGGGGGGATGTCCCTCAGCCCGGCCTGCACCCTCTCCAATCTGGGACCCATTGGGCGATGTCTGACTGCCAGTTTAGGCCCCATCCCTGTGGAATCGGGCCTAAACCGGCAGTCAGACATCCCTCTCACAATCCGAGACTGCTGGCTCCTAACCACTCACCTGCTTGATTGCCCCTAACCGTTTCTGACTGCCAGCCTGATCATGCCCTAACCACTCCCCCACCAGCCTGATTGACGCCTAACTGCTCCTCTGCTGGCCCATTGCCCCCAACTGCCCTCTCCTGCTGGCCCAATCGCCTCCAACTGCCCTCCCTTGCTGGCCATCTTGTGCTGGCCATCTTGTGCTGGCCATCTTGTGACGACGTCGCAAGATGCCACCTAGGCTTTTATTATATGGGGTAACATTGGAAGAAATTTGAAAGAGCAAAAATGCATCACTACTTTGGGATGATAAAAATGTTATCAATTTATATTGTGGTAATAATCGCCCAACTTTGAAAATACTAAAAACACTAAAAAAACATTGAACTGTCTTCTTTTTAAGTAGGTGAGTTTTATGGCATGTGAATTAAATTGCAATAAAAATGTTTAAAATTTTGTTAGCTCTTTTTTGACACCCCCACCTTTATACAACTGGTTTCTCTATCTTGTCTTTCAAATGTTGGCTGTATACTAATATAAATCTGTTATGAAGCCTTCCTTTGCATCTTTGGCCAACTCAAAGGCTCTTCCTGTCCTTCATGGCATTTTGATCCAGGGGTATCTGTGTATCCCCGATGAAAAAAATGCAGCCAAATCTAAGATTCAGTGATATTGGTGCTGAAGATCAAAGCCCCATCTCAGTACAAACTAGTCTGAGTGGGGCAAGATTTTCCTGAAGCACATGGAAGGATCCACACTGGGCCAGCCCACTGGTTAAAGCCTACCTGTGCTCATAGTGAGGGGAAAGTAATAAAGTGCTTGGTAGGTTAATGTGAGCAGTGAGAGCTGTCTTCTCAACAAACTCTGTTGCTACCTTTGTCACTTCCAGACACTTTTAATGGAGACATTTAACTATGTCAGTACTTTCTAAACATTGAATTGCTATTTGGGTTCCTAGATTGGACAAATGAGATAAGTATCACTGTTTGCAGAATTTTTGACAAAGTAGGATTTCCTTGCAAGTTGCACACATCCTCTGTGAGATTTGTACCATTCTCACAGGTTATCTCTCTAGCACCCAGCATCCTGGCACCCTCGTGAAGAGCCAAAACATGAAAGCTTTTTGTGGATATCCATGAACGTTAAGACAGTACCTACCTCCCTGGGGTCTAAAGTTCTTTCCCCAAAATCTAAATAGAAGATTTTCTCCTTCAGAACTTTGATGACATTAAAAGGTTAATTTCTTTAGCCTAGAAGTTTAAAGCATTAAAACTTTGGACTCATGTGAGAGCTGAGTAAAACCATAACCCCCAGTGATGCTTCAGTTAATGGTGAGTTCAGGATGGCCAGCGTACTTAAGGCACAGCGATGCTTCTCATGTTCAACTCCCCCACCCCACCCCCAAAATACCATCTGCCTGACACACTGCCTTTTGGAATTGTTTATGAGCAAGTTCTCTGTTATTTATGATTGTTGGCTAAAATCCACATGGAAATGTAGCCTGATACTAGTGCCCCTTAACAAAAACGTCTTGAATTTAACTTCTATCAGCACCATGATATGACACAGTAGGAATGCTCTGAAAAATCTCTGTGCTGTTGTTTATTTTGGTTGTGCATTGTGTTGTAGAAATAACCAAGCGATCAGCAAACTAGCCAACCTTTAGGTGGAATTTATTGTTAAGCAGTAAAGTGGACCTCCCTGATTTTAAAATTTTAGATTTCAACTTTCATTCACTCAATTGTCTGTAGGATGTCAGCATATTTAACAATTTTTTTCTGTCAGAATTTTCAACTTAAAAAAATTCCATATTTATCCTCTATTTTAGCTTCCTAGGGCTGGAAGTACCACAAATTGGATGGCTTAAAACAGCAGAAATTTATTGTCACACAATTCTTTTTTAAAAAATATATTTAATTTATTTTTTTACAGAGAAGAAGGGAGTGGGATAGAGAGTTAGAAACACCGATGAGAGAGAAACATCAATCAGCTGCCTCCTGCATACCCCCCACTGGGGATGTGCCCACAACCAAGGTACATGCCCTTCACTGGAATCAAACCTGGGACCTCTCAGTCTGCAGGCTGACACCCTATCTACTGAACCAAACCAGTCATGGCAAGTCACACAATTCTTAAAGCAAGCAGTTTATAATTAAACTAGTGGCCCAGTGCACAAAATTCATGCACAGGTGCAGTTCCTAGGCCTGGCCAGTGATTGAAGTACAGTGTCTGGCATGGAAGGGGAGGTCCCAGCTGACTTCTGGGCCCTGGAAAGCACCTGGGCCCCCGGACCCCTGTGTGCCCCCCTCTACCAGCGTCACAGTGCCCGAGGCCCCACGCAGAGATGCTGCAGGCCGGGCACAGCGTGGGCCTCTGAGCCACCTAGCAGCACTGCACAGAAGCCAGGCAGGCAGTGTGCTCTCTCCTGGCTGGCCTCGCAGACTGGCTCCTGTGTGAACCCCCGGGAAGCCCAGCCAGGCCCCTGCAGTCCTGGCGGCTGCAGCCTGGCTCACCCGGAAAATGCCACGTGGGTGTGGGGTGGGCTCCTCGTAGGCGCTTGGCACTTGAGCATGGGGGCTTCCTTGGCAAGCTAGCCCTGGCGTCCCAGGGGAGGGTAGCAGGGGGAGTAAGAGCAAGCTTGGTGGACACCACACATTCTCACCGCACCTCTGTCCCTATAACCTCCACCCCCAGGTCGCAGCACATCACTGGCATCTGCCATGTTTTGCACCGCCCCCTGGTGGTCAGCGCACATCACAGAGAGTGGTCGAACTCCCAGTCGAATGACAGCCCAAGGGGACAATTTGCATATTAGGCTTTTATTATATAGGATTGTCACCAGGGCATGCTCCATTTGAAGGCTCTAAGGAAGGAATTATTTCTACACCTCTGTCATAGCTTCTGTAGTCCCAGGTGTTCCTTAGCTCATAAATGCATCACTCCAATCTTCCTTCTTCACACAGTGTTCTCTCTGTGTGTCTCACATTACCTCCCCTCTGTGTGTGTCTATGTCCATGTCTCCCCTTTTTTGTTTTAATCCTCATCCAATGATATTTTTTTTATTGGTTTAAAAGACAGAAAGAGAGAGAGAGACATCAATAGGTTGCTTTCCATGCGCGCTCCAATCAGGGATTGAACCTGCAACCTAAGTATGTGCCCTGACCGGGAATCAAACCCACAACTTTTTTGGTGCACAGGGCAATGCTCCAACCAACTGAGCCACTGGCAAGGGCCATGTTTCCCCTTTTTATAAGAACAACAGGTGTTTTGAATTATGGTCCACCCTAATGATTTTTTTAACTTGATAACCTCAATAAAGAACCTATCTCAACTACAGTCACATCCTGAAATACTGGGGGTTGGTACTCAACATAACTTTTTGGGAGAACACAATTCAACTGATATCATCCTCCTTCAAAAGTATCTATCATATAAGATAGTTTGACAAGTGAGCCAAAGACGACAAAGCACATATGAAGAGTTTAACAAGAGTATCTTTATATCAGTCTTTTGATTTATACTCACTAAGGTAATAGACTAGTGTTGCCAAGTATATAATAGATTTATAAATATTTATGTTTTCTCTCATTTATTGCCTTCATGCACATACTAGAAGATTAAGATAATTGCATTATTTGTATAGTTTACTCATCTGCTCTGCTCTGAAATGCCGTACCACCACCATTCATGTTCTCATTCTCTTCTTTTCCCTTGAAATAATCATCTTATTCTCATGGACAATATGAATAAATGTCAGTTTGTGATATAACAGAGTAGACTTCTCACTGATTGAAAACTGAAGATTGTTGGTCACTGAGTTAGTGAGAAGTCCCTATCTTTGGGCTCAGGGCTTGATCTCCAGCCCCACTGTTCAACACAGGGAAGGCATTGCTTAAATCTGCAGTGACCTAGCCCTGGCCAGTGTAGCTCAGTCGGTTGGGTATTGTCACATGCACTAAAAAGTCACTGGTTCAATTCCTGGTCAGGGCACTTACCCAGTTTGAGATGTAATCCTGGGTCAGGTGCATATGGGAGGGGCAAACCAATCTGTTTCTCTCTCACATCAATGTTTCTCTCTCTCTCTCTCTCTCTCTCTCTCTCTCTCTCTCTCTCTCTCTCTCCCCCCTCCCCCTCTCTTCCACTCTCTCTAAAATCAATAAAAGCATGTATTTGGATGAGGATTAAAAAAAAAACAGCAATGATTCAGAACAGGAAAAGGCAGCTACCATATGGATGATGGAACCAAGAAAATAACACAAAGATAACTAGTATTTACTGGGTACGTGTGTGTGGCACTGGCCACAGGCTAGGTAGTAGGAGGGAGTTTACAAAACAAAAAAAAAAATCAGTCTGGTCTCTCAGGTTGGCTAATAGGCCAGAGTCACAGCATACCAAGCAAACCTCTCATTTCACTTCACCTTTCTGCTCTTCCCGCCATGGTCTTTCCCAGTCCTTACTGGGAAATGTCCATCCATTCACATGGGAGGGAGGTCCCACTAAAGGAAGAGGGTATTGAGTGTTTCCCTTTGGCCAGTGGCCTCTCACCCTACACTCAGCTTCAGGAGTCTGTCCAAGCCAATGAGTTCCAGACATCAGCTGCACTGTATTTCATTACTGAGAAAAAAGCAACAAGAATAGGAAAAGCCTCAAGCATGTAAGGAATCCTTAAAAATCCTGAGGTCATTTAACCTTGAGAAGAGAATGTCCTGGGGGAAAATATTAGCT